TTTTTTTTTCAATGAAAGATCCCAGTGAACTGAAAATCCCCTTTAGACAGGAGCTCTGATGTCCCCATTACTCATTCACTTTCATATTCAACAGCCATCTTCTTCATTACAAATAATAAACCAGCATCTCTTTTAAGTATACAGGTATGGTGTTATATATGCATAAATTAACTGCAACTCAAGTAAAGAAGAAAAATCTATTTAAATGTGCATTAATCTTTTATTGGCTTTTCAACTTGTCATAAACAGTTTGTAACCAGTTGTATATCATCATACTAAACATTGTGTAAAATCTCTCACTCAATAATCCAATTGATATTCAGGTAATAGATCTGGTGGCAACAGTTCTCAAATGGTCCATTTTATAACCCAGGCAAAGGTTAACCATCCTTAGCTGCCTAAGTGTGATCTCAGCCCAACTCCTGCAGCTCAGAGGTGACTTCCAATAGCAGCCTGTTTATAGGTGGCTAATTATTCTTCACTAACATTAACGCAGCTGGAACTGGGACCCTCAAGCAATGTCCTGAAAGAGACGTCTTTTCTCTTTTCTTGTTGTTGGACTTTTTTCCCCACACACAAAATCTCGTTCAGAGCATTTCTGTTGAGGGCTTCAATTTTACCTCTTTCACCGCCATTATCTATGCTCTTCCCTCAGTTTCCAAATGGATTAAAGTGGGCTTCTAAAATGTATAATCCCCTACAATGTAAGCACATTTACTAATTAAATTAGGAAACTAAAGAGGAAGAAGAGGTGAAAAAATCAAAGCCTAGGGCGGCACCTGTGGCTCAAGGAGTAGGGCGCTGGCCCCATATGCCAGAGGTGGAGGGTTCAAACCCAGCCCCGGCCAAAAACCGCAAAAAATAAATAAATAAATAAATCAAAGCCTATGGTGAACTCAGTAAGCCAGGTGCCCTTCAAGAACTCAGGAACATTTATTGACGTTAAAACACAGATTAGGCTCTGAACTTTCCAGCAACAAATACAATCAGGGAAATAAAATTCATCGCTTTGTTCATTTATCTGACAAACGTGCATTTCACCCGTATCAGATGGATGTCGATGACACAACATGGGCTTAAAAAGGCTCAGTTTTTCCCTTTGGAGAACTTACCATCCAGCTTCGAAGACAAATTTTAAGTTAGACATGTAGTTATAAATTATGAAAATTCCATAAAGTAAAAGAATAGCATTCTAAGAGAGCAAATATTAGGCAAGATCAAGACCGCACTTTAGGTGGGGGAGTGAAGTTGAACCCGAGACCTCCCTGAGTTGCCTCCCAATTCCCATTTCCCCTTCTCTCTTAATGACGGAACTCCCTGCTGTAAGGAGGCACATTATAGTCCCAATAAAACATTGCGTTTTCTAGCGACCCTTGCAGGGGGAGACCACCACATGACTAAGTTCTGGTCAGTAAAACGTCGGTGGCAGCACTATGCGGGCTTCTGGAAACTGCTGGAAGACAGCCGCCTGGCTGGGAAGGGCGTTTTCTGTGCTCCCGTGGATGGCCCTGGTGGCTGGAGCTCTGACGGTCATTGGGACCGGAAAGTGATCTTGAAAGCAAAAGGCATGGCTGCAGGAGGGTGAGGAGAAAAGTCCTGACGGCATCCTGGAGACGCCACAAGGACCCTAGACGTCCTGCATTTTTAACAAAAGGCCCTAGACTCCCTATGTTTTTAATAAAAGGGGTATAAATGTCTCTTTTGTTTCCGCCACTGTTCTTTGAGTTTCATTGTTGTCTACAGCTGAACGTAAACCCAGCTGATTCTATGGTCAGACATAAGCTGGAGAAGAATTCTGTTCAGCAGCCCTGCATTGGGAAGACCTGTTTGCTTCAGGGACTGAAAGGAGATGATGTGAGGAAGGATCATGTGATTCACAGAGTCTGCAAGGTAAACAGGCACTGGAGAAGCACAAAGCTTCCTAGTACTGAGACCCAGACAGAAACTTCTCCTGTCTTGCTAGAGAGACATCCAGAGAAAGCAATTTTAAGGGCAGGGCAGAGGACAGCTGGCTCTGGAAGAACGTGAAACAACACGGCCCAGATAGTTCACCCTCCCGTGGACTGGCTTAATCTGGGAGCACCTCCCCAGCCCTGGGAAGCTCTTACTCTCTCCCCATGAATCTCTCTCCATTAAGCTCAGTCTCAGCTGGGCAGGACAGCTGCCTGGGAGCCTCCTCTGATGCTGTCAACAGGGGCTTCTCCCCGGGGCAGGCACCTCCCCCTCCAAAGATTTCCATCGCACACTTGTTAGGCCTGCAAATAAATTGGCAACGCAGCTGAATTTAATCTTTTGATTCCCCCCTGAGAACCAATTTCTCCAAGCCATTCCCTTGTAGACAAAAAGATTTTGTCTCACTAAACCTGTTTATTGACCGAAACTGTCGCCTCTGCTCTGACCGCTGACCTTATCTGAATATTCAAATCTATCACAGATCGCAAGTTCAAATGATTTTAGTGCCCTCTGGAAGTCCTGTTTTCATAGTGAACTGATTACAAATGACAATATTATAAGGGCTTTAATTGAGATTCTACAAACAATTTGCACCCTGGATTTACAAACCTAATATATTCAGAAGTGTGAATGCTGCTGATACTGTTTTTTCTTGTTTGTTTCTTTTTTAGGCCAAGTGCGTGTGTAAATGCTGCCACTTCCAACCCGTGCTCTGTGCCCCCTCCACAATAGTATTCCGCAGGACAGAAAACGCCTTTTGCATTCTGATGCAAACCATGACCTGCCCCTTCCCCACTGTCTGGGGAGAGAAGTTTGAAAGCCTCTCATGTGGTAGAAAGTGAACGAATCAGGAGTGTAGTTCCAACACCTGCATCGGCGCTGCCTTAGGCGCCCTCCTTGGTAATCAAGGGAGAGTGAAATAATTCTATACCCAACTCCCAGAACTGATGCTTGGGTAGAATGAATGAATTGGTGTTAGGGTTAGGGTTTAAAAAGTCACAAAGAGCAGCAGCAAAGGTAAGCGGATTTTATTACGCAGACACATTTTTTAAACAAGGGAGATACACCTGAGAAAAGTGTTAATAGGAACAGGATGAAGACAACATTTACTGAGCACCGTTCTACATTTGCCAACCCCTGTGTGTGTAAGTGCCTGATTGCACAATCACAGTCGACCTAGAGAAAATCCCCGTAAGGTGAGCTCTGAAGCCCATTTTACAGAGAGGGAAAGAAAACAAAAAACAGATTTGGAGGAATACTTAACTTTCCTGAGTTACAGGAAACTAAAACTCATCACCAGGAGCTGCAGTGTAGACGGGAGCAGATTTTGTTGAATTTTCAGCCCCCCCCTTAAAAATATCACTAAAGGAGTAGGGTAAACAGCCAATTGCCAGGTATCTTCTCCAGTGGGTTCAACTCCTTGGGTTAACTGGTCCTGAGCTGAAGATAAATTGTTTTCCCATTTGTGCAGTGGGCAAGAATTTGCTTATTTATTAAAAAAAAAAAAAAAAAAAATCTTGAAGTCCTTGTCTAAGAAGCAGCACATCGGGGGAAAGTGCTCTTCGCTTTTTTTCTAATCTTTGGCAACTAATATGACCTAAAAAGCCAGCTAATAACCCATGAGTTAAAAGAACGTGGTGAAAGGGAACCTCTAACCTCACACTGTGTTAATCCAACTAGTGGTAGAAGGAAGGATGTTTTTTTGTTCCAAAGATGCTACAAGGGGCCTGTTGTTCCAACCAGTAGAAGTTTTCACCTGTGCTCTCTGCTCAGAGAAAATAAAGCATGATCGTTCCAAATCAGCTGGTGAAGTGCAGACCTCTGAAAGAAACGGCCTGTCCAGGCACTAATATTTAAAAATTCCAAAGCTGAAATCTCGCTGTAGGTTATTTATCGCCTAAATTTACTGAATTCCCTTCCAAGACAGCCTATTTAATCAAAGTTAACTGGTGGAAATTACGAAGGCTCTTAATTGAGCTCTCCCACGGTGAGCTTTCAAAACAGCAGTGCAAGCACCACAGAAAATAACCGGAGGAACAAACCACACTTCTCTCCAGTTCCATTTTCCAATACGACGTCTGGAATGAGGAGCTCAGATCTCCAGGCGGTGATCTTCATGCATAGTATAGTGTTTGTCCTGGATTTCATTGCTTTGAAAAAAAGGCATGAAAAGTCTTGATTTAGTTGGCATTTAATGTGATTTTTATATAACTTCTGTGATATAATCAGCCGCAATGGGAATCAGTGGAGAAACGGAAAGAGCAGTAAAACCTTGTGCGATTGTTCTTCCTGCGCGCTGATTGGCTTGCTGGGTATACAAAGCTGAACAGTCCCAGGCCACACACACCTACTCCATTTGTAGACACCCATAATGATTGACTGTGGTCCAGCACCATCCCCTTTCCCAGCCAGCCAGCCAGTCAGAACGCGGGGAAGACAATAGGTATGTTGGAACAGCAACAAAGAATGTGTTGCCGTAAATCACATCCCATTTCTGCATAGCTAAGAATAGTAATGCACAAGCCACAGGCAAGTATATTAGCGTCTCCTGCTATCCATAAATGAAAAACCGTGCACAGCAACACGGTCTTGATTGTTATTCCAAGACAGCTTTTTTAGTATTAGATTCTTTTCTTTCTTTTTTCTGAGAAAAGAAAGATGCATATTTTTGCTATTATTTAAAAGCATCTTTCCCTTTTCAGCTGGGTCCTTAAGCATTTCTTTCCAGGAGATCAGCATGCTGTCTTTCCTGCACACCGAGAGACCGGTGATGCCAGAGGAATTAAATTCCTGGAGCCCTTAATGATATCAGAAAAAAGATATCATACAAATGACCAGGGACTTTCCCATACTTAGTCAATTTGAATTTGGAAAATTATTAGAACTGTGTGGAAACGTATAAGGAAATACACTAGCAACACATTATGACATTTGCATGTTTTAAATATGCTTAACCATGCGTTTAATTTAGATTTAATGAAATAGTTATTATATGCAACCAAAACATCAGTGTTATTAAAAACAAATTTATGGAGGACTAACAGCTGTGTTACTTGTCTATACCCACCTATGTAGAGTCTTTCATTCTCAATAATGTGTTTTTAATCATTAACTTCTATTTATTAAATGCACAATAATTGTTTGAGTCATTCTGCTGAGTGAGATTGATTAGGGTACTCCTTGGAGTTTGGATGAATACCAATTGATAATTTAAATTGTATGAAATTGGCTCTAGAATCTATGCTGTACCAACTCTTTGATTATTTATCCCATTTTTTAAGATTTATAATCAGCTAGCGTGAGGCTAATAGAACCACAACATGATCTCCAAGCTGCGTATCTATGGGTTATATTTGCCATTCTTACTGACAATCAGAACAGATATCAACATTTAGCAAAGGTTAGAATATTTTTTCAATGAGGTTTTCTTTTTCTTTCTCTCCATTTTTCTGTTGAAAGAGTAATCGGAAAAGGCTACAGTGTTGGGGGGGGGGCAAGGAACAACAAATTGCTGTACACGAAGTTTCATTTTTGAATAGCTAGAGAGATTAATCCACTTGACTGCAACTGGTTCCTTACTACCCCCAGCTACCCAAAAATGAAATATCACATATGGTACTGTCTTTGCCCCATAGGTCATAATCCTATAGTGATCACAGCAGAGCTGGGCTCGATTATGGAAAATGAGACCCCAGCCAACGCTCTCAAACACCCCCTGCCTGCCAAGGAGCTACCCGGGTGCTGTAATTGTGTTTACCTATAACCATGCTTTTATTTCATTACTTTGGACTTGGGGGGTGCTATAAAAGGAGACAGAATTTTGGAAGGTTCTGGAAGCTCTAACCATTGAATGCTGTGCTTGGGGAGACCTTCCTCCTGCATTCTTGGGACAGATCATTCATCATTCATGTCTGCCTACCTTCACCTAAATTTTATGGCATATTCTCAAAGTCCTCAGCAATGGCAGAAGCAGATAGGAAGTGAACCTACTTGCCCGAGCTGCCTCCAGCCTGCAGCTGGGAGCGTCATCCCTCCGAGGGCCCCTGCCTTGTTGCCTCATCTGTCTTGGGATGGGTGAGGAACACATTTGGGGTCAGGAAGTTTTGCCCCATGCCGTTCCATCTGGTTGCTCAACAACCTCTTCTCAGCTTGTCACTTGTCATGATGGTCATTATCATGAGTTGAGCACTTACTGTTTACCAGGCACTGACTTTGTCTCAGGTGACACCCCCAGCAACTGTAAGGTTGACAGTGACAAGTTCTGACACTGACTTCAGGGACAGCAGGGAGAACTTTGTCCTCTGAACTCATACGTTCCTACCAACTACGTGAATGTGGTATTGTGTTCACCCCATTTCGAAGATGAGGAAACTGAAGTCCTGCGTGATTCGATGAATTTCCCAACATTACCAAGTTAGTTTAAAGAACCAGGGACTTTGGTTCCTGAGACTATATAGACCACCATACTAGGAGTTCTTATTCCTGTATCTAAAATGAGGAACAAAGGTTCAGAAAGGTGGGGAAAGGTGCCCAAAGCCGCGCCATGACTTTGACAGTGGCGAAGCCGGAAGGCAAGCCCGGGTGTGCCGACCTCACACACAGAGCGTCCGCCCACCGTGCACAGACCAGACGTTTCTCCACTCCCCGGTCTGTGGTAGTCATCCATCTGGTCTTGTCGGTTTGCAGGTCTGTTGCCTGCAGGGCTGGGCTGTATGTCCACCCACCTACACATAAGAGGAGCCTGCCGCAGCAGTGCTCAATAAACATTTATGGAAACGGACGTAATCAAGGCCCTGCATGACCCACCAGCTGCAGGCAAGCTTGCCTTCAATGCTTTGGGAGAGTACCTTCTACACTGAACCACGATCGCCTGGACATACATGGTTGTCTTACCCACTAGATTTCCAGTTCCCTTGGGGCAGAAAAAGCACCTTGTTCAGCTCAGTATCTTCATTGCCCAGCACCAAGCCTGGCACATAGTAGGCATTTGTGGTAGACACTGCAAGCTGTTTTCTTTGAGTCTCTCTCCTCTTCTCCCTGGACACAGAAGTGCACTAGGTTTTCTGGCTTCACTTGATCAGGCACAACCGTCTGACTAAGAAGCAGCCACAGGCCTGTGAGAAGTGACTGGTATTTCTGGGCCCAAGGTTTTTTGTTGTTGTTTGTGTTGTGCTTTTATTTATTTAAGACAAAGATCTACTCTCTCTTTTCCTTTTTACCAACAGGTCACTGAGGCCACAGAATGGGAGAAGGAGAGTCCCTGAATTAGCAGAGGGGAGACAGCTGCCTGCTGGCCGGCTGCGGGAGCCAGTACGGGGGGTGGGGGGGAGAACCAAGTCTGCATTCTGTCTGAGTCATCACAGATTTTTCGTCTTTTTGTTTGTGCAGCTGCGTCATCTCAGCCACTGCACCGTCTGATCACTGATGCTGGTTAATGCTAGCCCTCAACATAAGCACACTGCCTTTAGTCAGAGAAGACAATCCCATCTGTTTGAGAGTAAAATCTATTGTCTTTTCTACTCCGTTTCTTCATGAGAACATCATTATTACACCACAGTCTTTTGGCACCTACCTAAACTAATGTGTGGCAGGAATCAACTTCATTTTCCTTTGGAGAAACCATGGTTTTGAGCAGTTGGGTGATTTGTCCAATGAAGAACAGCAGATTGGTGAGAGAGGCTTGTCCAGGCCTCCTGATTCCCAGGTTGCTTCAGTAAAATAGCGAATAGCTGATTGTTGGTTTTTTTGTTGTTGTGGTTGTTTGTTTTTTAACATAAGTGGCTTTCAGTTTTTGTTTTTGGTTTTTCGGGTTTTTTTCAAGACAAGAGTCTCACTCTGTCACCCTGGGTAGAGTGCTGTGGCATCATCATAGCTCAGAGCAACCTCAAACTCTTGGGCTCAAGCGATCCTCTTGCTTCAGCCTCCTGAGTAGTTAGTACAGGTGCCCACCACTACACCTGGCTAGTTTTTCTGCTTTTTTTTTTTTTTTAGTAGAGATGGAGTCTCACTCTTGCTCAGGCCGATCTCAAACTTATGAGCTCAAAGTGATCCCCCCACCTCAGCCTCCCAGAGTGCTATACAACAGGCCAGCTAGGGGGCTAATTTTTATATTCCTCTTATGTGAGCACAGACTCAGGTCGAAGCTCAATTTACTGATTTTGATCTGCTTTTAGAGTATATTGACATAGAGAGCAAAAGTACAAATGTCACGCCATGAGGGATGTTGGTTTTCCAGACTGCATCTAAAATTAGAAGATGTTCACAGATGATGCTGTACATTTATTTTATCTTTAAAAAAACTTTATATTTCATTGTTTTGGTTTTTTAAATTTTTTTTGAGACAGACTCTCACTGTGTTGCCTTCGGTAGAGTGCTGTAGTATCACAGCTCACAGCAACCTCAAATTCTTGGGCTTAAGCAATTCTCTTGCCTCAGCTTCCCAAGTAGCTGGAGCTACAGGTGCCCACCACAATGCCTGGTTATTTTTGTTGTTGTTGTAGTTATCATTGTTGTTTGGCAGGCCCAGGCCAGGTTCGAACCCACCAGCCCTGGTGTGTGTGACTGGTGCCCTAATGTGGCTAAGCAACAGGCACCTAGCCCTTTACATTTTGTTGTTTAAAAATGCGCACTCATTATAGAAACCTTAGAAAATAAAAATGATCAAAAAAGGGAATTCCCTCACGTATACAGTATGTGAGCTATATTTTACCGAAATCGATACCATCCCTTTCAGTGACTACACAGTTTTAGTTACATGACCATACCTGTGTTAACTGGCTGAGGCCTGCCACATACCAGCTGTCAAGATGGCAGAACCACAGTCTAGAGTCAGGGAGATCAAAGCAGTAGAGACGGCACTTTTATTCTTTCATTGATTCATTCATCTAACAAACACAGTTTGGGTCCCCTCTCGGGGTCTGACGCTGTGCTAACTTCTGGGGAGAGATGGAAGAAGCTTCTCCTTCGAGGGCAGTGTTTGAGCACGTGAAAGGGGCTACAGTGCCGCAAACTGCTGTCACCGACCCTGCTTTCTCCACCCCCTCTCAACACGGCCAGCGGCACACGCAGAAAGGAGGGGAGCTCTCAGACCACATAGTCACTGAGTAGATAAAGCCCAAGAAGCAGGAAGAACATGTGACAGGCTGTGTTA